AAAAAAAAAAAAAGAAAAAGAAAGAAATGACAGACTGATAAACAGAAAAAGAAAGCTGGCTCTGTAGGAACGTTGTAGGTAGTAGCTCTCAACCTTGCTGCACATTCAAAAGTCTCGATGCCCAGAAAAATGAAATGAAAATTTGGGGGTGGAGGGTGTTAGGCATCAGTACTATTTAAAGCTACCACAGTGATTCTGATGTGCAGTTGAGCCCGTTTTCAGAGGAGAAAACTAACTCTTAGAGGAAAGAATTGTGCGTGGTTTATCTCCATTTGCTCCGAACCCACCTGTGGTCAGCATATAGTGAGCACTCCATGAACAGATGGGGGAAGTGCAAGGGCACAGGAGATTTTCACACAAGACACAGGGCATACAGGGGCACCGTAGCTCAGTGGTTAGGGCACTGGCCACGTGCACCAGGGCTGGAGTATTCGAACCCAGCCTGGGCCTGCTAAACAACAACAACAAAAACAGACAGGCATTGTGGCAGGCACCTGTAGTCCCAGCTCCTAGGGACGCCAAGGCAAGAGAATCACTTGATCTCTTGAGGTTGAGGTTGCTGTGAGCTATGATGCCACCGCACCCTACAGAGTGAACTGAGTCTCTGTTTCAATTAAAAAAAAAAAAAAAGACATAGGTCATACTTAGAAGAATATAGGGTGACTCACCTCAATGGCATAACAGAAGTCAGCACCTGCTGTGACCGCCATCATTGACAAGAGACCTGTGCCAGTGCCAATATCAAGAACCAAGGCCTTCTGTCCTTTGTCCTTCACCCTGCTTACAGCAGCCTGGATGCCATGATAATACTTTACATTCTAGGAGAAAAGGAGAAATAGCTGTCACTTCACACCAGTTATTATAAGTAAAAAGGTTGTCACAGCTGGCAGCAGCACTGTAAGTCATGACCCTATGGCCTTTCTAGGCACTCAAGAAACAGCACTAGCTGAGATAGACCGCATGGGACTCCAAGAGCATTTAGCCAGCAGCCTCTTGCCCTTTATTAAGCGATTGCCCCCTCTCCACATTCACTCTTCTACACTCTCCTTAGTGGGGCGGGAGCTCTGCAAACCATATTCACCCTTCCCCAGCTGTTAGGTGCAGCCAATAGGGGACTGAGAGAGCAATTGGAAGGTATGAGAAGGGAAAAGCTCGTTTTCTGCATGACTGCTGTTCTCCCAGTAATAGCAGGTGATAGCAGACCACAGGCTCTGCCGGTACTCCCATAACCAGCCTCCTTGGGCCCCTCAGAGCAGCAACAGCACTCGAGCAGTCACCCCCCTCAGGGATGTGAGCACCAGCCCCACAGGAACTCATTTCCCTGCTTTTGCACTCTGGAAACTTTCATCTTCCCTTTTGCTTCTCAGCCCCAGGCAAGGTAAGTGCTCCCAGTAATTCCTACCCCTGGGTTATCTCAGGACTCCATCTGCTCTCTGTCCCCCG